TCAATGTGACTAAATAATGAGTAAAATCATTTGAATTTGTCACTATTAGAAATAATAAAAAATTATTATGCATACCATTCAGACAGAACTTAATCGATTTCAACATAATCAGTCAATTCGATCGATTTTATTGATATCAAACGGGCTCTATATTAAAGTGAAGGGTTGTTTACTCTTTTTCTATTAAGTACTGTCTAGATTAAGACATTTGTGTAGGTTAAGATATATATCGGGACAAAATGATATTTGTACATGAGGTTGTTTATTTTGTATGCTGAATAAACAGTCTGAACCAAGTCAAATAATCAATTTAGTATTGTTCTTAAATTATAGTGTCAATGAAAAACTTCATTTATTAATATAAATTTATTCCACAACCAACTTTTGAAAAACACATTTAAAATTAGCTAAAATACGTACTTAGACTAATGTAAAGTAATGATCAAAATATTACTAACGTTATTAAGGAGTATGGCTGTTAGGGATGGCAACGGGGCGGTTCGGGGACTGTTTTACATATAACCGTACCCGCCCCATTTGATAATTCCCCGCCCCATAACCGCCCCATTACCCAACGGGTAATTTTTTCCCAAACCGTATCCGCCCCAACGGGTAACGGGTATAACCACGGGTAATCGCTTTATTAAACGAGTGATTGATATTTTAATATAAAAATAATATTTTAAAAGGCAAAAAATGGCATCACCTAGATGACTCTAGACTGAGACGCCACTTTAAAGTTTCGTATATCTACAAGACGAGAAAGAAGACAACATAAATTAATTTGAACTTAAAAATACTTAATCTGAAAAATAATTATTCACTAAAAAATATGATAATAATCAAACAAGACTATTAAGATCTATTATGAACTCTCATTGAATATTATAGTTAGTACATCTATTATCCATATACTTAATGAAAATAGAAAAAATCTCATCTTCATTTACTTATGGGACAAATAATAGATAAAAATGTAATAAAAATATAACTAAAATAAACGGGGCGGGTACGGGGCGGGTAATGGGGCGGGCATGTATAAAACCGTAACCGCCCCGTAACCCGTAAAAACAAAACGGGTATTCCCCACCCCATACCCGTTACCCGGTCAATGCGGGTATCCATTGTATCAGTCACAATTGCCATCTCTAATGGCTGTATCACTGTATGGATATGCTGTCCCAGTATGAAAACTGAACATGATCAAAGGTTTATTAGAGAGGTTAGGTGAAGCCTGAAGTAATGTGGGGGGAACTGGCCGGAACGTCTTCATACCCAAACCACTTAGACTAATCGCCGGATCACTCCAGAAAAGTCTCTCATATTCGCAGGGAGGATATGTATGAATTGGCGGCCTATGAACTTTCTATCTCGATGTTAGCAATTAATTGTTTGCAAGGCGCAAACCGATAGAAAACGAAGGATCTTGTTCTTCATTCGGAATTGAATTCTTCCTTTCCAGCATTCCAAGCTTTCCTGTCAAAGACAAACATGGCTTCTTCACATTCAACTGAAAACTGCCTTGGATGGGCTGCCAGAGACCCATCCGGAGTTCTTTCTCCTTACAATTTCAGCCGCAGGTAAATCACCTGTCCAGAAAATGACCTGTTTTATGCCGTAATTTGTTAATAATCTCAATTCTCCTGTACACCAATAATAAATGTTATATAGGGTTACCGGGAGTGATGATGTTTCGCTAGATATTTCCTATTGTGGCGTTTGCTATGCTGATGTGGCGTGGACAAGGAGTCTTCATTGGCCTTCCAAGTATCCTTTAGTGCCTGGGTATGAAGCTTTGTACTGCCAATTTCATGTCCATTCATTCGTTTGTATGCAAAATAGTGATGAACTCATTATCTTCTTCTTACCAGACATGAGATTGTAGGAATTGTGAAAGAGGTTGGCTCCAACGTCCAGCGCTTTAAAGTGGGTGATGCTGTGGGAGTTGGAACTTACGTCAACTCATGTAGGGAGTGTGAGTACTGTGAGGAAGGGTTAGAAAATGAGTGTTCAAAGGGATCTGTCTATACTTTTGATGGGATAGATTTTGATGGCACAGTTACTAAGGGAGGATACTCAAGTTACATTGTTGTTCATGAAAGGTGAATAGACATTTCTGGCAATCTTGTTTAATACTCCCTCCGTAACTTAAAAATCTTCCCACTTTCCTTTTTTGTCCGTAACAAAAAAATCTTCCCATTTCTAAATCTTCTCATCATACCCTCAATAATTCTTAAAATAATACACTATTACAACTACTTTTTTTGGATTTATCCTACATTCCACCACATTATTCCACTATTTTCCCATCATACCCTCAATAATTCATATCATCTTTCACTATTCTTAATCTACCTACTTTTGAAATGGGAAGATTTAAAAGTTACGGAGGGAGTATATCTGTCATCAAGTATGCTGTATCATTTCTGTACTTGTCTGTAAATTTGTTGACTTTTAGTCATTTGTTTGTGGTGACAAGTGACAACAATGTCTTTAGTACTTACCTTTGAATTTTTCCATTTTGACTATTTTGCTTGTCAAACTTTTCCATTTCCCGCAATAGTCAGAAAATTAAAAGTTTCAATATAAGAATAGTTGGTGGATAAAAATGTCACTTTAACACTGCTAGAGGACTAAAAGTTAATACATTCAAACGAGTACCAAAAGGGTCTTTGTTACAGTTGTTGGGGGACTAAGAGTGGAATAGAAATGGCTCTAAAAGTGTCGTGGCCCCATAAGTAAATCAGTGGAGTAAAGTGGAAAACACTCTTTGCTACAGGTATTGCTACAAAATTCCCGAAAGCTACCCTCTTGCCTTGGCAGCGCCTTTGTTGTGTGCTGGAATTACTGTGTACACTCCTATGATAAGGCATAACATGAACCAACCCGGCAAGTCTTTAGGTGTGATTGGACTAGGTGGTCTTGGTCACTTGGCTGTGAAGATTGGGAAAGCTTTTGGGCTTAAAGTAACTGTTTTCAGCACCAGTATATCAAAGAAAGATGAAGCTCTGTCTCTTCTTGGAGCTGACAATTTTGTGATCTCAACTGATGAACATCAGATGGCGGTTAGATGATTCATCCTTGTTGTTAGATGATTCATATTTCATTGTAATGTTACAAGAATGATGATTTGCTGAAATTAAAAGCATGGTTGTGTCTTGCTATAGGCACTGTCTCAAACGTTTGACTTCCTGATTAACACCGCATCTGGAGATATCCCATTTGATCTGTACTTGTCGCTGTTGAAAACTGCTGGTGTTCTTGCTATGGTGGGGTTCCCAAGTGAAGTGAAATTTAGTCCTGCTAGCCTAAATATTGGTAAGTATAGTTTTATATACTTCCCTGTACCATAGGTTTTTTCTCACTTTCTATTCTTTGTCTAAAAAATTGCCTCCCATTCAAGTGAAGATCCGAAAATATGTGTGGTCGGTACTCTTTCCCTCAATCAGATATGGAATAATAACTGGCTAAACCGGTTAAATATAAAACTTGAATATTTTGATGTGGTCTCCCTATGACGAAAATGCACAAAGTGGGGGATGTAAGAGTATGCGCCATTGTGAAAAAACATTTCATGGTCGAGACAATGTCTAGCCATCTGGAGGTGATGAAAGATTTGTTGCATGCCAGCCAGCAACCTATGAAACAACTAGTACTTTCTTAGTCCCCTTATGTAAAATTGACTTTCCTTTTAAATCCGTCCCAAAAATACGAACACTTTTCTAGTTCTAACTCCACTAGCTTTTAACTTCTCACTTTATCTTTTCATTTATCATGCATATTTTTTGTCTTTGTAGAATCGATGGTAAAGGAGCAATTATATCTTTTATTTTCTTAAGCCCATATGAAAGACAGATGTATTTTGCATTTTGGGACAGGGGGTAACATTGAAGACTTTAGGCTACTACGTAGTACATAGTATCTTTTATCAAGTTGACTTTTTAAAATGTAACTGAAAGTCTTATCAAATATCAACCACAACCATAAAGTTATATGGAGTACCTTGTTAGTGATCTGTCAATACAAAGTGAGACAGAGTGAGTTCGATTAACTACACAGTTCAATAATTTGTGCATATACATTTCCTTAAAATTATGTGTCTCATGTTACACAGGTATGAAATGCATTTCTGGGAGCATAACTGGCGGAACGAAACTGACACAAGAGATGCTAGAGTTCTGTGCTTCCCACAAAATATACCCTGAAATTGAGATGATTCCAATCCAGTATGTCAACGAGGCTCTAGAGAGATTAGTAAAAAAGGATGTCAAATATCGTTTCGTGATTGATGTTGGGAGCTCCCTCAAACAGGATGGATGAATGTGGGCATCTGCATTTGTTGATATGTTTTGTGTTAGTTGCAAAGAAAGTTGATGTTCCTTTCACTTGGTATTTTATTTCTATGTAATAGAAGTTCAATAAAAGGCCATCATAGTCTTGATTGATGAAATTTAGTTCGTGTGTTAACAAGGGGAAACAACTGACGTCAAACTAAACCTGTAATTAACATGGACATAGTGGTATAAGGATGTTTTTACTTGGACCGTAATTTGTTGGTCTGAGCTGGTCTGGTCTGGTTTCTTTGTATTTTTATAACTATCCAAGTCTGGTTTAGTCTGGGACAAATTACAGTCCAAGTAAAAACATCCTAAATTTATACTCCGTATAAGCTTGACGTGTATATGTTGGAAGGAAAACCACATGTGTAGGGAGAAAGTTAGAGATTTGTTTTGGGAGCTAATAATTGAGATTGAGAGGATTTGGAAAAAAAATTGAATTCTGTTTTTATATATATATATCTTTTTCAATAGAAAAACGACAGTGCTTCGTCTAATTAACCTTCATTAAAATCAACAATTGATCTCCTTTACATTTCCAATATGTACAACATAAATATGTAGCATGCTAGCTATAAATGTTGCCATATTTCGAAACTACCTCATAAGTACACATAAATCAGTATATATATATACAAGTTAGCAATATAATCCTCTTTTTTATATATGTAGCACTTTGAAAAGCCCTAAAAGCTTCAAGTATCTCCCTTCAATTTCTTGTGTACCAAGAACAACCAAACAGCTGTGAATTGAATTAATAAATCCATATATCCATGGAAATCCCAAAAAAGGTCCATAAGTTGAAAATTAGACACATTAGTATTCTTATTTTAAGCCTTGCTGCTCTATCTCTTATTGCATATTCCCTCATATGTCTTGTACCGGCCGATTCTCTTGACCTTCTCAAGTATTTCTTCCCTCTCTTGCTATCAACAACTCTGTTTGTCATCGTTGTCGCAGCGGGTTTTAAACGACAGGCCTTACCGGTTACGGATGACTTCGATGAAACAACAGCAGAAGAAATTTGGAAGTACATAACTAAATATGATGAAGATCATCAACATCCTAGTGAATTAGTTCTTTAATTTGATGCACAGATACCCTAATATTCCCATGGCCAAGAGGAATTAATTTAAATATTGTATCTTGTAGTAGCTAGTACTTTTTGGATGTGATATTAACGTTCTCATTTCATTTGACATAAAGTTTAAGAATTTCATTTGGCATAAAGCTTAAAAAACAAACAGGACGTTGGAACACTATTTTGGAATAATAAAGCAAAAGTAAAGCTCGACCGCTTATATTTGTGTGCGCATGCATGAAACGGCTGTACTATTAAATAAAAAAATTTTTTTGGTCAAGACTATTAAATAAATAATAAATACGTCGATAATAAAATTAACATAAAAGACATGGATGTAGCCCAAAATTTATTTGAAAATGCGTACCAAAGGGGTCACTCGAAACAATATCTCGACAAAAGGTTAAAGGTTTACTATATTAACTTTTCTTGATCATTGATGAAACTTTGAACACTGATTTTAATTATTATATTTGTGTACAATTTATAACATTTATACTTTTATGAAAATATTTTGAATAAGGAATGTTTAGATATAATTTTCATATTCAAAATAATTATGTATTAAAAATATATTTATTGTCATTGATCAAGAAAAGTCAGTTTGGCAAAAAAAATTCGGGATGAAAGGAGTATTGTTTACGTGTCAACTAGTATTAATTGTTACTTCGTATTTTATGAAGGATCTAAACATTTTAATTGTAATGTTTGGTAGGCATACGTTCATATTTTGCAATAAATGAGCTGAGTGCTATGTTCTCTAACTCGATGTTGTTTAACTGTTCGATTTTTGGGCCATCCTCCCATCTTTTAGAAGACTAAGAAACAACATATTAGGGTAATTCTATTAGAGCCCCAAATTACTATTCATAGCCACATAATTAAATATAAATAAATAAATAAATACGATCTACTATACGAATATGATAGGCTTTTCCCTATCATACGAATATGATAGGCTTTTCCCTATCATACGATTCCGCTAGACTATTCTATTTCATTCATTATCCATTCAAAACCGTCTACGATCTACTTTTGTCTTCAACAAGTGGTACAGCATTTAATGCAGGGCAAAGTATCTGGTTGCCTGGTTGGTTAAATGATAGCCTAGAAGTAAGACCGAGGACCAAGAGCTCAGGAAATAAAGATCGGGCATCCAGCTTTGCCATAAGAACACATTGAATTCGAAGAAAGAGAGAGTGAGCAGCTGACTTGCAACCTAGGACCTAGGGGCAGGAAAGAGGATATTACCCCAAGACTGACTTTCACTATGCATTCATTCGTGCACTATCTGAGAGGGATTACTTGCTAACGTCCCTCAGGGATTGGACAACAACTAGGCTATTAGCAAGAATAGGTTTTGCAAGTGAATCAGAATAAAGCAGTGTTTGCGGTTGCTTAAAAAAAGTACTTTTCAGCTTTTGTCTTTAAAAAAGTTAAAAAGAGTGTTTTCAAATGACAGATTCTGCTTAAATTAATCACTTAAAAGCTAAAAGCTGGAAGCAGGTGGAAGGGTGCTTTAAACTGCTTTTCACTTTTTCTATTACACAAAAAATACTTATTTTACCAAACACTACCAACTTTTACTTTTTTCAGAATCACTTTTTTCTCAAACACTACCAACTTTAATTTTACTATTAATCACTTTTTCCAAAATCACTTTAAAAAATCACTTTTTTAAAGTTGAAGCAATTGCAAACACTCCCTAAGAGTTAGCAGGGCGGAACAAGGCTTTTCAAGCCGAAGATTGTGAAGTAGATTCCAAATATCCAAAGTACCCTCTCTCCCGGAAGTGTTCATCAAAGATAGCACTCATTCAATTGTTTCTAACATCTTCTCAGTTGGCTTTAAATGGAAATTCATGCTAGGCCTCTCTGGTGTTCTGGTAATTAGGATCGCCGTCGTTGTTTGCCGGTTGCCGGAGTCTCCAAATTACTTTGGAAAAACGTTTCAATTAATTTGGAGTACTCGTTTTTTTCTATTTACGGACAAGAGAGAAACTAAAGGCACAAGCTGTCGAGAAGAAGGCTAATAGCAGTTACTCGGAGACCAAGTAACAGATTAGAAACTATAGGTGATGATGAGTAACAGAGTTACAACAAATAAATTTTCTGTTCAATTACCAAATTAGAAATGGGTAATTCTATTCACAACCTCAAAATGGATCATATACATAGTATAATCGGGGCCAGCCTTGGCATATAAATTATAAAGGGCTCTGTTCAAAATTGAATATGAGACCCTAAAGTATAAAACACAATATTAATACTTCATTCGTTCTTAAATAATAGTCTCCTTGGATTTTTTATGATTTTTAAGAAGAAAATACTTGAGATAGTATAGAGGTAATGTAGGGTACATGGAAAAGTAGGAAAGATGATTTATTAAGAAGAGTAAAGATGTAAAGTAATGATAAAATAAGAAAGAGAAAATAATATGCAAACTCGTCCCAAATTATACGAGGGCTTTGTGGTAATTACTATATCTAGGCCTTATGTAATAAAGAAGTTGCACAATTGTAGTTAGCAATTGTATTTTGGATCTTAATAATGTTTGTATTTTAAAAATACTAAAATAGGAATATTTAATCAAATAAAAAAGGATTTTGTATATTATGTAGACTATATTTAAAATTTTGGATCTTCTAAATCGAGAGGCCTTGTAGCCTGTGGGGTAGCACTTCTTCCACGTCCTAATCTATGAACCTGAGTATAATGAAACAATCATCGTTATACGTCTATACAATGATGCTAAAGAATACAATGTCACAAGAATGTGTAAGAAATGTTGTGAACCACAATTTTTTTTGTCAAAAAGGAAAAGAGAAGATAATTGTTGGACAGATGAAGTATCTATCACTTTGTATATTATTGGATAATTCTTTAAATTTTATTACTGACATGGTGAGAATATTATCTTATTTGATAGGATGTGTAAATTAGTAGCATATGCCAATCCACCTATATATCGATCAGGCATCAAGAATATCAATTTTAAGCCACCCAACTACATAGGTCTAGCTAGCTAGCTACTATCACTAAATCCACACATATGCATGCACTTCTGATCTCAAACTAACATTATAAACTTACTATATATATAAAAATTTTATATACTGGTCGTCGATCATATCACAAATATGGTCAACATAATAGAAAGACTTCTGGGCTCTTTGGCTTCAGCAATAGCCCGTTTTTGTTTCCTCGATCATCGTCGACATGAAGATAGTCACAAAAACTTTCATAATAATCACACAAACTTCAACATGCCCAAGAAGAGCCGCCGCCCACTCTCATTACAGGTTTCAACTTTTATCATATATACGAATTCAAATCTACATATATGATACGGATTATATATAAATAAAAAGACCTCTTCCCATGCAAAGTGCAAAGATATGCACTTTTTCACGTTTCTCTTACACTTTTCGTGTTTCTGTTGCACTTTTTCGCAGTGGTGAAAAAGTGTAACATATTTACGAAAGTGTTACCGCGATTTTTTTGCATTTTTGGCTCATTTTTTTTGTATTCGAACTTTTTCTTTTTAAGATCTTTTCAGTCACTAAAAGTTAAGAACTACTAAAAAGCTCACAAAAGTATCTTTTAAGCTAGTTGTGCCAAACATGCCCTTTCTAATTGTAGTGACTATAGAGTAGTAGCTTAGTCACGACATAATAACTTATGATCACTTTTAATACTTAAATAAATACAAGATTATAATATACGAGTAATAGTTAGGGGAGCCAATCTAAGCCCCGGCACACTCCAAATTTAAAAAATGTCTATATTTTTAGAGTAAAAAAGTTTCATTATTTTTTTCTTCCTAAAAGTACTCTTTGTACAGGCTCAGTGCTCTGCCTCCGCCCCTGACTATTAATCATATTTTTGTAAATAAGTTTCATTTTAGTTATATTTTTTTTTTAAAAATAAAACTAGCTTTGCTTCTTATTGCTCCTTATTGTCTGTTTAAATAATGCGTATCATGTTTTCTTTTGTGTTTTCTCGTTGGAAGGGTTTTTGTGACGTTCATTACATTCAGGAGCAAGGTAGTGGATCATGGTTTCAACTTTCAATGGACATTACTAAATACATATAAATTTACATATGTGTACGTATATAAACGACAATTTTAAAAATAACACCACATTTTTTCCAAATTTGATTGAAAAGAAAAACTATTACAATAAAAAAACTGTTGGTACAATTTAAATTTATTTTTTTTTTAAAAAGTGAAACAATATATAGTAAAATAAATTTATATCTTAAAATAAAACAAAAAAAAAATTGAGAAAATATGAACAATGTTGAGGTTTGAAATTAAAGTCAAATGGTTTAATTGTCACTATGTACTGATTCTATATGTTTCGCATATAAATATTTTATTTAGTTGATGAATGAATGTTATAAATAAAATTAATATTGAAGAGTTGAGTCAAATATTAAAAAATTGAAAACTTATATGGTTTAATTGTCATTATGTATTGATTCTATATGTTTCGGAAAATAATTTGTTATGAAAAATATTTTAAAAAAAAATAGGTAGTTATATATTTTTAAATTATTTTGTTTATAGTTATGCACTTATGCTACAACCCCGAATAATTTTCGTGTTAATTTAGAGTCCATTTGTTAATACTGAATCAACTAAATCTGTTGAAATTGATGAAACTAAATTTACTGATTTATGTAAAAATTATATTTAAAATATATTTTATCAGTAGAATAAAGAAAATTTATATAAACAAAGCATTGTTTATATTCAATTCAATTAGAAAAGTAATTGAATCTTACTTGAATTGTTTTTATTACTCCGTATTACGTGAAATGAGTTTGGTTGCCTTAACAGTTGTTGGTTCAGCATATCAGCATATATATCAATACTTGTCCTCGTCAGTCACCAGTAATATTGTAACTGCCACAGTGACATGCGCATCAGGAAGGCATTTTAATTTGGGGTATGCATAAGAATACTTTTAAAAGATTGAAGATTAAATAGACCTGATCGGATAGTATATTCGCATATATATTGTTCCCAAAAATACCTTTCAACTGTCTCAATAAGTATCTAGGCTCAGTTGTTATTTTATTTTGTTCCCTACAACTTGCACAAAAGGTTCACTAAGATGTTCTATTATCTGCTCATGCATTTTACTTTCAGATTACAATAGTAAAATGCACGTGTACACTATCCGTTCTTTTTTTTTTAGTTACCCACAACATGTTAAATACTACACCAGTTACGTACTCTACTTTCAATACATTGGATCTATTAATTAATATATTACTCCGTATAAATTTAAAATATAAAAGTTTACTACTTCCTCCGTTCCATTATATTTGGAACAATTGAGTTTACGATGCTTGACTGACGACAAAACAATCAGGTCCTTGTCTGCACTCAAAATATTTTTACGAATTTTTTTGCATATTCAGAAACTACATTAAAAACTTTACAAAGTCGCAAAAACCAGAATCAAAATTGATATATAAAGTAAGAAATAAAGACTGATTTGTGTTGACCAAGTGAATAGTGTCCGAGACAATCTTAGTGAGATGGAGTAATAAGGAATGAAAAATAAGGGGTACTAATGTTCCTTGACAAACGTGAAAATAAAAGAATTATACTACAAATGAACAAATGAAGTACCTCGTATATATTAACTTTTATGAGATCAAATCATATCATGCGAACTAACGCTTAGACTAGATCAAATCAAACAAGATTTCATTAAACCAGATCAAATCAGATTAATTTAAGTGAAAATGTTCTCAATTAAGCTCCTCGCATTTGAGAGATTAAGCCAATAGGTTCTCAATGGGCTGTCTTTTTCTAATAGCAATTCAAATAGGTCAGTGAATTCCATAGTGAGATTAGAAGGGATGCTTCTCGCCTTCTTTGTTAGTCCTCACATGTTTAAGTAATTCATGTTTTAAAGTAGCGTTTAACTCAATTTAATTTGTTGCACACTTTTGTGAATTAATTATGTTCATGTCTTTCCACTTTATTAATTTTGCAGACGGTAGAACTCAAAGTAAGGATGTGCTGCACTGGTTGTGAAAGGGTTGTCAAGGTTGCTATAAAAAAACTCCGAGGTACTTAGCACGGTTTAAACCCAAATTTATTAAAATCAAAATAAGTAGTCAGTCAAGGAAATCTTTTACCCTCCCCTGAAATATTATGAGTTCTTCAATTTACTTCTTCGGCAAGTTCTCAAATTTAAAGGCACATATAGACCCTTACGTCTTGGGATCATCCTTTAAATTTGAGCAAAAAAAAAAAATTAAAAGAAGAGAAACTGGAATGTAACAAGGAAAATTTGTTTATTTCCCGTAACTTTTTTTTTGTTTTTTTTTTCCCTTAATTTTTATCTTTATCCTTTATTAGTTAAGAACTTTACTCACTAGTTGTGGCTATGTTGAGTAACTTAGAAGTTTGTTCATATATATATATATATATATATATATATATATATATATATATATATGACTTTTCCACCAAGACTTATAATGTTGATTGAAAATTTAAAAGGGGAATTTTGAGTTTGCACCCAACTTTTTGAGTGATATTGAATTTTTCACTCAATTTTCAAATTTTTTAGACTTTGTACCCTATTGTACACCATTTTTGTGAAGACCAATTCTTAAATAGGGTGCAAGGTAAAGTCTTTTTAGGGAAAATAGCGTGCAAAGTTTAAATTTTTTTAAAATGAGGTGCAAAATTCAATATCACTCAAAAAGTGTGGTGCAAAATCAAAATATCCCAATTTAAAACTGCGGCCGGTGAAGATTAAAATATCCCAATATATTTTCCCCGCAGAAATATTTTATTCCAATGAAAAGTCCTTGATGCATGTAAATAAAATTATTAGGGACAAGAAATTAAACTATCCATATTAAGTGATTAAAATTACAAGATTAACAATAAATAGATGCATAAATTACAAGTCTGAATCTCTAATTTTCTGTGCAAACATTAATTGATACATGCATAGTGACATGTAGGGGTGGATTCAATAGAGATAAACCTTGAGCTAGAGAAGGTAAAAGTGGTTGGATATGTTGAAAGGAATAAAGTGCTGAAGGCGGTGAGGAGGGCTGGGAAGAGGGCAGAGTTCTGGCCGTACCCTAACCCACCACTCTACTTCACTTCCACCGACCACTACTTCAAGGACATGACCACTGAGTACAGGAAGAGCTACAACTACCGCAGACATGGCTATAATACCGGAGACAAGCATGGAATCCTCCTCACTACTCAGCGTGGAGATGACAAAATCAGCAACTTCTTTAACGATGATAATGTCAATTCATGTTGTCTCATGTAAACACCATATGTATATATACATGCGTCTATATATTTAATAAGGGAAAATGGTCAAATAGACCTTCGAACTTACATAAAAGGTCAAATAAGTCCTTATATAGTAGGCTCTGTCCGGCCGCCACCATTTAGGGCGGTTCCTGGTAAAAATTTTTGATGAATTTTTTTGATCATCTTATTCATTAAGTCTAGTTTACTCACACCAAATTTCAGCTAAAAATTCAACCGGGAAGACATTCAAATGAATTCTTGAAGATGACTGCGCAGTTAAAAGGGCAATTATCTTCAAGAATTCATTTGAATGCCTTCCCGATTGAATTGTTAGTTGAAATTTGGTACGAGTAAACTAGACTTAATGAATAAGATGCTCAAAAAAATTCATCAAACAATTCCACCGGGAAGTGCCCCAAATGGCGACGGCCGGACAGAGCCTCATATATAAGGGCTTATTTGACATTTTTATGTAAGTTCGATGATCTATTTGACCTTTTTCCCATTTAATAATTTAATGTTTATATTAGATTATCCCCGTGCAATGTACAAGACAGAATATATATAATCAAGTCATATAGAATTTTGTTTATATCAACGATGAACAATAACATCCGAGATTGATAAAATTATAGTGTATAAAATACTACGTATATGTTACCACTGTATGTGTCTTACTAACAACAGCAACATATTTCAACATTCGTCCATCACCTATTGTATGCTTATGATGAAAGCTTTAATGTACGTACATTCGATAGGGAGAAGCACCAACTATTGTTGCTATCCCCCTTTATGGCAACTTCTTATGTAAAGAATGCATCTCTAGGGGTCATCCTTTCATCGTAAAAAAAGTGTGCAAAGAAAATAAAGCTATATAGCAATAATGTGTTATATGTTATATGAAATAATTACATAATTAAATAATATGATCAAAATAAAGATGATTTATAAAAATATGACTAGTTACTAGAGTAGTAATGAAATTATAGTAATTCATGTTCAAATTTTGAACTTAAGTTACCACAACACTACGTTGTAGTAATGAATAGTCATATTTATGTAAATAAGTTTTATTTTAGTAATATTCTTATAAAAAACCCGTGTTATATACTTATTAAATACGGAGTACGTAGTTAAGAAGAGTTGTTAACGTATACATACAGTGTTCCCAAGGGCGGATCCAAGAATATGAGATGCCCTTGGCTGAATAGGAATTATACTAGATTTAAATATTAGCGGGGTAGGCTAAATGTTAAAAGTGAAAAAAATTAACCTAAAAAAATTGAAAAAATTGTATGTTGCACTGGGCTTCAACCTACCATAGCCCGTACATAGATCCTCCCCTGAGTGTTCCAAAAACACACAAAATCGAAACATTACATTGAAAAAACAAACTATGAATTCGAAACACTTCTTGGTAAACAATATTAGTAGTATGATCAATTTGTTGATCATTGTCCTTACAAATCAATATCTTCACTCTTACGATTGATAAATAATCTTGAGAATGCAACAAAGATTGACTTTGATTCGTGTTTATAGCCATTTCATAGGACGTCATGATTTAGAATTGGGATGTCTTCTTTGAAATGTGAATTATATTTGTGCATCTGATAGTGTACGTGCCAATCGTGGTATAAGAAGTTCTTGACCATCACACTTCATGCCTAAAAATTTTGCTCCAAAAAAATGATTTTCAAATCTAGTGATTATGAAACGAACTCAATCAAGAATAATAAATTTTAGTTAAAATTACCAACATATGATTTAATAAAGGAAAAAATAATTAAAATACCCCAAACTTTGAGAGCGTGTGAGGTAAGCACCCCAAACTTGCATATGTAATTTAAACACCCCAAACTTTTTATAAAATGTTATTTTAGCACCATGGTCATGTAATATTTCTTTCAAAAATGTTAATTTTTGGTGTTAATTTCATAATTTAAAATATTTTAGCATTCATGAAAATACAATTAACATTCTAAACTTCCGTTGTAAAATAATGAATACTACTCCCACTCTATATAATTGCAACATTTTTAATTTGCTATTTTAAATTATGCAATTAACACCTTAAATTTCTATTTTTGAAAAAAAACATATATGACCATGGTGCTAAAATAACTTTTTATATAAAGTTTGGGGTATTTAAATTACATATGAAAGTTTAGGGTATTTATCTCACACTCCTTCAAAATTTGGGGTATTTTATTTATTTTCCCCTTTAATAAATTACTACAAAAGATTTCAAGTTTACAAAAAACCAGTAGTTACAGTTGAGGTTATTGATGACAATTTCTTCAACAAAAGGTTCATTATTTAAGAATGAACCATAATGTTTTTAAACAGTACAAATGATTAATAAAACGAGCTCAATCAATATCAAGAATAAAATAGTTTAGGTAAAATTTACCCAAATGCGTTGCATTTTAATTATTTAACTTCATATCGAGTGAAATCTTCATCAATACACTTACGTATTTAGCTCCTGAAAGAATCACCTTTAATTTGGTTAAATGAATATGTTCCGATCAACAATCAAATTGTCTAATATTACATGAAAACTGATATTATGCTCACTTTATACTTATTAGTACTCATATTACTTTCATATGGTGTGCTATATGTTTACTAACTACTAAGTATTGAAATGTGTTTCGAATTCGGTCATTCTGTAATACTACGTATATTATTACATGAAAACTGGTAATATGTTCATCATATGCTCATTAGTACTCATATTAATTGCATATAGAGTGATCAGTCATTCTGTAATATATTATTACATTTTTTTAAAAAATTGTAATATATTATTACATGAAAACTGGTAATATGTTTATCATATGCTCATTAGTACTCATATTAATTAATTGCATATAGAGTGATCTATCTTTATTATTAATTAAGTCGTAGCAAAATTAAATGTGTCTAAAATATGCTCATATGTAATATTATTACATGAAAACTACTAATATGTTCAATATATGACCACGTAGTAGGACTCATATATTACACGAATATAGAGTGATATGTATTTATTAAGTACTTGTCTTTTTAAAATAATATTATTTCGTACTAATATTACATGAAAACTGATCATTATATGCTAATTTTATACCCATTAGTACTAATATCTATAGATAATACATTTGAAAGATACAATTAAGGAAAGTATTGCCCATGTCAACACCATATTAATTCTCCCTTAATAATTCTTAATACAAATTTCCTTATTTGAATAAACGTAGACCGACCTCATGCTTTTTGTGTTTCAATAGAATTCAATCACATCACATATTGTTTAAGTTATTAACTCGTGAGCTAATTAACCGTGTCCTGTTTACACAATAGGATTCAATAATGCTTCTTCTATTGATATTTTATTGGTTTTATTAATTATTGATATCTATAGATAACATATTCGTATTAGATTACATTACTCCGTAGCTATTCTTCCTGCTAGGCCGGAGTTGCTAAAAATTAAAATTTAATGTTAGACTAGAAATTCTTTAATTTAAAGGTCACAATTCATGATTTCTGCAAATACAAATAATAAGTTTATGATTAGAATTCATCATAATTATAATTCATTAAGTATCACAAACTATGGAAAGTTTTGTCATTTGTCATCTTCTAAACAAAACATTCATTATAATATCCCATATTTTCTTTCCAATTTGATATCATTTATATCTATCTATAGATATATACATTTCAAAGATACAATTATGGAATGTTTGGTCATGTGTCATCTTTTAAGCATACATTCATTATAATATTTTTTATTCTCTTCCTAATTTAGAAAATTAATTCTTAACGTACGTTCGTTAGAACTTAGAAGTTAAGTTATACGGAGTATTAAAACTCATCATATTATACGTTCGTTAGTTTAGGACTAAGTTAGAAGTTAAGTTAGATTAAAATTAATCAATTCATGTTATGTACGTTAGTTTAGGAATAATAAATCAATACATCAATTCTATGTCATCTTATCAATTCATGTTCCCATTTTTTTTGTTCAAAAAACTAACTTCATAACGTTAGAATAGAATTAGAAATTACATATTTAAACAAAAATAGAAATACAATTACGGATCATGGAAATTTTGTTTTATTCGATTAGAATTCATCAGCATTCTATACGTTATTTATGTTAAATTTTCTCAATTTCTATCGATCATATCAAACATTTATCATAGAAGACCAGACCAGATCAGATCAAAAATAAAATCAGACTAGAAAAATCCAGTTCAGTTAAAAACATCTTTAAGGAGTCCTCCCTAAAATTTAGAACTCCATACTCCTTATTAGATTAGAATATATCTCCCGAAACATTCTACACATTCTAATGTCATGATAAAAGTAATAAATATGTTTTAAATTCGATTGAATTTTTTTAACTTAAACAAATGTATGTGAATTCTTTTTAGAGTTATTTAAAATTACTATTTTTATTATTTTAAAAGTGAGAAATAAAATTTTGAGCATTCTTTGTAATACAAAACTGGTGAGATATTATGAGTAATAAAAGGTACTAGGTAGTATAAATTAACTTAAGGTATATGTACTCCAAATGTAAAACAAGTGATGCATTTTTTAAAATCTCATTTTTAATTTTTTTTTCAATTTCAAACTATAATAAAATAAAATTTTATTCTACAAAGTCGATCAAAATGGTGTAAACAGAATTAAGTAAGAACACGATATCTAAAAAATGATAAAAAGAACTAATTTTGAAAGCACACTTTTTTAAAAGACTGAAATTTAAAGAACATTATTAAAAAATATATACAACCTTCCATCCGTACATTAGAGAATGAAATAAATGTTCGAGGTTGATAGAATGCGATGACGAGCAGTTTTAGCAAAAAAATTTAAAAATGTGAATGTGTCTTACATGGTTAGGTTTAGTAATTCTATCTGTAGGGTTATGTTTGGTATTAAGAGCGGTAGATGGAGAAAATACCATTTATAATCAAATGCTTCTTAATACCAAACATAAGGCCCATTTGATAAAAACCAAAGAGCCATCCAAGATATTTAGAATTCTATATGAGATTAAATAAATCTGTCGAAACATTCTACACATTCTAATGTCCTAATATAATATGAGTATTAATATGAGTAATAAAAAATTTATAATTAGATTATGTTTTTAAGCTTAAAATATAGGAATGCTTTTCACTGTTATTTAAAAGTATTATTTTTTCTCGGTTGAAAAGCGAAAAGTAATATTTTGAGAATTCTTTGTAATACATATATGGTGTGATATTATGAGTAATAAAATTCTATCATAAATTAGTTTAAAGAACACATATCCCAAATGTAAAATAAGTATTGCAATTTTAAAATCTTATTTTTGATATTTTTTTTCAATTCCAAAATTATGAGTATTAAAAAGCTATTATAAATCAATTCAAAATACATATATTCTAAATGCAAAACAAGTATTGTAATTTTAAAATCTTATTTTTGATTTTTTTTTCAATTTCAAAATATATTAATATTCATAATTTGATCTTAAAAGTCAAAATGGTATCAACACAATTAAGTAAACAAACATATTTAAAAAAATAACTTTTTAAGAAGCTGGATTTTAAAGAACATTAGGAAATTAAAAAATTTGTACAACTTCCCATCCGTACGTTAGAGAATTAAAAAAAATGTTTAAGATTGTTAGAATGTAATGAGAAACACTTTTAATAAAA